CCTTCTCTTATTGCACAATGACATGAGACATGGAAAAATCGCCAATTCCAGGCAAAATGACTGAAGCGAAATTATTTGAAGGCCAACCTCTAGTCAACAGAAAAATCCACCAATCTTTTTTGACTTTTAAAACTTACTGGCATTAAGTTCATTTGCATTAATTTTTTATCCATCTACTTTTATCTACACATAAAATTTAAAATCAAGACAAATAATGCAAATACAATAGTATTCATTACCTATAAGATACTTAAATGAATAACATAATTTAGTAGCCAATCCCTAGTGCCAAAAGCAGAACAACATATTCCTGTTTCCCTTAATGCTTTCTTTCATGTTAACAAATCTCTACAGCACTTGTAAATAACAGAAAAGCTCCTTTTTTGCCACTTTTCCTAGGCTAAAAGAACTAAGATACCTTCATTGACTCTTAATGTCAGTCTGGTTTAAACTCAGCCATTCTGGAAAGGTATTGTGTTGTATACCACTTGTTTTAGTAGCTCCAAGAGTGGAGATTTTGTCTTTTTTTTCTTATGTATCACATTGTAGTAACTCTGCAAACTCAATTTAAAATGTCATTGTTTTAATGAGAATAACATAAAATCTCTGTTTTCCTTCTCTGGGTATGTATCACAGGAAACAATTTTTTTAATGAGACTTGTTTAACAATATGCATTCTAAAATACTGAATATATTGCTTGCAATGTTACACGCTGATTTAATTTGATTTTTGTTCTGCTGTTAGAAATAATATGCACTCGCCCATTATATATCTGTCAACCCTTGGTGGCTTACATAGTATATAATATAGCAAAACATTTAAAACATCCTTGGTACTGTATATTAAAATACCTACAGAGACAAGAAACAATCATGAAACCTTCAAATAAATAACAGCAATTACAAAAAAGTAAAACATAAAATCACAAATTATGAAGTATAAATACAATATATAATTATAAAGTTATAAGATTATTATAGCATTTCTAAAACTACATTATGAACAATGTTGATGCTACATACTCTTACAGGAAGACAAGGCTTCGTCTGAACAAAAATAAACATGGAACACATTTTGTGGTTTTGTAATATTCCAACACATGATTGGTGTAAAATTCTGGCAGGATCTGCATCACAGTCTGTTTAACTTTAAAAATTGTCACAATGGTGTGTCTGGAAATGTGTATAAAATATATATAAAATATAAAATCAAGGTAAATTAGGACACAACATCAAGGCTTGCCAACATACTAGCTGTTACAAGAATAAACATGTGAAACTACTGAATACTATAACAATTTCAAATGACTTTGTTCCATATTTAGTGAGGGGAAAAAGTATTTGATCCCCTGCTGATTTTATACGTTTGTCCACTGACAAAGAAATCAGTTTATAATTTTAACGGTAGGTTTATTTTAACAGTGAGAGACAGAATAACAACAAAAAAATGCAGAAAAATGCATTTCAAACAAGTTATAAATTGATTTGCATTTTAATGAGTGAAATAAGTATTTGACCCCTTTGCAAAACATGACTTAGTACTTGGTGGCAAAATCCTTGTTGGCAATCACAGAGGTCAGACATTTCTTGTAGTTGGCCATCAGGTTTGCACACATCTCAGGAGGGATTTTGTCCCACTCCTCTTTGCAGATCCTCTCCAAGTCACTAAGGTTTCGAGGCTGACATTTGGCAGCTCGGACCTTCAGCTCCCTCCACAGATTTTCTATGGGATTAAGGTCTAGAGCAGTGGTTCTCAACCTGTGGGTCGGGACCCCATTTGGGGTCGAACGACCATTTCACGGGGGTCACCAAACAACGCAGTCCGCCATTTTTTTCCCCCTTTCTTTAGCTGTGCTACTCCCTTTTATTCTATTGGCTTTTGAAAGCCAATAGAATAGACTCTCTTGAATAGAGTCTAATTCTATTGGCTTTCAAAAGCCAATAGGAATTGTCCAGGCTGTCTCTGCCCTGCTGAGCCTACCAAAAGTCCCATTCTGCAAACAGTGCTGCACCAGTTGAGTAGTCCTCGACTTACGACCGGTTGGGGGTCGCGGCATTAAAAAGGTTGAGAACCACTGGTCTAGAGACTGGCTAGGCCACTCCAGGACCTTAATGTGCTTCTTCTTGAGTCAGGCCTTTGTTGCCTTGGCTGTGTGTTTTGGCTCATTATCATGCTGGAATACCCATCCACGACCCATTTTCAATGCCCTGGCTGATGGAAGGAGGTTCTCACGCAAGATTTGATGGTGCATGGCCCCGTCTATCATCCTTTTGATACAGTGAAGTTGTCCTGTCCCCTTAGCAGAAAAACACCCCCTTAGCAGAAAAACACCCCCAAAACATAATGTTTCCACCTCCATGTTTGACAGTGGGGATGGTGTTCTTGGGGTCACAGGCAGCATTCCTCCTCCTCTTAACATGGTGAGTTGAATTGATGCCAAAGACCTTGATTTTGGTCTCATTTGACCACAACACTCTCACCCAGCTCTCCTCTGAATCATTCAGAAGTTCATTGGCAAACTTCAGATGGGCCTGCACATGTGCTTTCTTGAGCAGGGGGACCTTGCGGACCCTGCAGGATTTGTCCTTCACAGCGTAGTGTGTTACCAATTGTTTTCTTGGTGACTGTGGTCCCAGCTGCCTTCATATTATTGACAAGATCCTCCCATGTAGTTCTGGGCTGATTCCTCACCGTTCTCATGATCATTGAAACTCCACAAGGTGAGATCTTACATGGAGCCCCAGACCAAGGGAGATTGACAGTTATTTTGTGTTTCTTCCATTTGTGAATAATCGTACCAACTGTTGTCACATTCTCACCAAACTGCTTGGCGACAGTCTTGTAGCCCATTCTACTCTTGTGTAGTTCTACAATCTTGTCCCTGACATCCTTAGACAGCTCTTTGGTCTTGGCCATGATGGAGCGTTTGGAATCTGATTACTTCTGTGGACAAGTGTCTTTTATACAAGTAACAAACTGAGATTAGGAGCACTCCCCTTAAGAGAGTGCTTCTAATCTCAGCTAGTTACCAGTATAAAAGACACCTGGGACCCAGAAATCTTGCTGATACGGGATCAAATACTTATTTCACTCATTAACATACAAATGAATTTATAACTTTTTTGAAATGCATGTGTCTGGATTTTTTTGTTGTTATTCTGTCATTGTTAAAATAAACCTACCATTAAAATTATAGACTGATCATTTCTGTCAGTGGGCAAATGTTACAAAATCAGCAGGGGATCAAATACCTTTTTCCCTCACTGTATGTGGCTGCTATCTAGCTAGCATATATTAATACATTCATTTGTTTCCAAAAGCTAATGTTCTAATGAATATGAATGAAGTCTTATATAAAATTAAGAATACTCTAGTATTTATCCATATGCTCCCATCTTTGTACTGTACACTAACTTAACTGGGGCAGTTATTCCCAGATTTGGCAATCAAAATATTGAAATTATATGTCATTGGTATCAATTGTAATGGGAAGAGCCCTCATTATATTCTCTTTTAAAATTCTAATCAATTTGCTATGTTGCTTTGATATGTATGTGTGTGAGTGAGTGTCAAAACATTAGCTGCTCATTGTAATATATACTATTGTCAGCTGTTCTGTCAGCTCTGTTAAGGAACATCCCTTCTTCACTAAATACAGATAGTCCCCCACTTACAACCATAGGAATGCTGCAATGGTCATAGGTGTGAAAAATAGTTTGTCACTTTTTTCAGTGCTGTTGTTACCTCAGATGGTCACTAAATGAATGGTTGTCAAAGACTACCCCTATATGCACTAAATCAGGGACCTTCAAACTTGGGCCTTTTATGACTTGTGGACTTCAACTCCCAGAATTCCTCAGCCAGTCTGGCTGAGGAATTCTGGGAATTGAAGTCCACAAGTCATAAAAGGGCCAAGTTCGAAGACCCCTGCCCTAAATAATACTAATCCAAATGCTTGGGTTAATTTACAGAACCAAAACCAGAGATTTAGTTCACACAACAGACTGAGCTACAAAGTAGCCAGCCACAGTTAAGCTCAACAAACTATAGAAACTCGCCATTGTTTGCTACTGTGTGCAGTCTAACCAAAGTAATTTTGGCAAGTAAAAGCACAGCCCCATTCCTACCTGCTACAGTTCGCTGCATAAACAGCCCCATTTCAGATGTTGCATTCTGGCATCAAGAGACATCCCTGTCAATGTGTGTATATAGAGCCATTTGTGTGTAGTCTGTACAAAGGCTTCCCGGAATCCCAAACTAGTGGTGTGTGGTTGCAGCAAAGCTTTCATTTACAGTGCTATTCATACAAGTCTGCAGCCGACTCCCACAAACTTTTGGCGGGACTCTGCCTAGTGCTGCTGCTTGGGTGGCGAGCGTAACGTCGAGACACTTTCTTCATAGAGATGCTGGCTACATTTGCACATTTTTAGTTGCAGCTTATTGACTTCATGTTACTTTTTGGATTCAGAGGAAGCCCTGGACTAGTTTTTTTTTAAACCCACTGGGCACACCCATCTTCCAGGATTCGTTTATTAATTCCGCGTCGTGACAAATGTACAAAATTGGGTTAACTTACTAAACCTTCAGCGAGCATGTCATGCCAACAGAGCACGCCATCATGCTCTGCTACGGACCACAAAATACTTCGGCTGTCATGCCGCAGTTCTCTAGCTACACGTCCAATGTCACCGTGGCAGATAAAGCAACACAAACGCGCACGTTAAAACACCCGGCCGCCTCGCGCCTTCGCCTCTACGGCACACAACGCAGACGCCGAGACTCCCCAACCTCCCGCGTGGGCAGCGCCTCTCCTGAGGTGAGCCCGCGTGAGCCTTCACACGTGGTCTGGCGACAGAGAAGTACGGGCGTTAGGAAAGAAACTCCTCGAGGAGAGAGCGCGCATAGCTTCCGCTGAGACTGCGGGTGGGGGGGGGGGCGGGATCGGTGGCCTAGCAACGGAGGCATGGAAGCGGTAGGCCGGCCGATGCGTGAGTTATCAACAGTGACAGCAATAACAGCAGCCCCGTGCAGTGAGAGGGGAGCATGCACTTTGGGCGGTGTCAACGGGGGCGAGGGAGCGGCTGCTTCCTGGAAGATGGGGATTAGTCAGCTGCAGCAGGCAGGGGATAGCCTGATTTGGGCGCCATTTCAGAATAAAGTTGGCTCTCTCTTCCGGTATTTGAGCTTACATTGAAGATCAAATTATCCCCGTCGCAGTATGTTGTTTCTATATTAAATCACTACAGAAATTGACCAATATATATACGTAACATGGAGATGTAAGACAGACGTGAGTAAATGGGGAGAGTGGAAGGCTTTCTTGTCTTAGGTGGTAAGCTACCTTGGTAAACATAGATGATTTCAGGAACATAATAATGGTAAGCCGGATCAGAGCTAGTTACCCTTTCTGACATGGGAAATCCTAGCCCACTGGCAGGACTGTAGACCAAATTGAGAAACTGAACAACAGCAAAATCCTTCAATATGGCAGTGGCTAATCATTTTCACAGCATTGCCAGGATAATTACCTGGATGTGTCCAGATGCTCACCTGAAATCAAGCTCAAAGCAGAGGTGCCTTTATTTGCTGAACTCCTTTGTGATACCCTGTCATCCATAAATTGCACCTGACGATTGGGGAGGTGCTTTTGGAGCACCATATATCAGGAGAGAGTGCAAGTGGAACAGGCTGTTGGTGGAAAATGGGGGCTAATATTAAACTGCATCTCCAAGTTACCCCTCTTAAACAATGGGTTGCTTATCGTGGAATTGAGAGGATTTGATATACTAGCCCAATTGAGAGGAATATGCTAAAGCAAGTTTTAATAAATGTCTTACTACTTTGCTTTTTGGAACTCTAAAATACAAACTCAGTAATTTTTTGGGCTGCTGGGTTATCCAATTAAATTGTTATTTTTTTTCCAGAATCCAGTGAAATTTTGGAAAAGGAATGTAAAAACAAACTCAACTTTATGAATATGCAAACGTGAATGTACAAACATGAAACCTGTTCCCAATAAATTATAATCTCCTAGAATGTGTTTATGGTTATGTAGAAAAAATAGCCAAAGATTATAATTCTGCCTGCTACCCTGTATATATGCATTGCAAATATATATTCTGTAGAATTATTGATAAAAGTTACTAAAAACTTTTGTGACTCTTTCAAAACTTTTAAAACATTTTTGGAAATATGTTGTATAAGAATACCTTTTGAAACAGGTTCTGAAAATTTAGCTGAAGAACAGAAAATTGTATTTTCTTAGTTAAATTAGAAAGATCTAATTTGCTTCCCAATCTCTATGAGATTAGATTGAAAAGCAATCTTTTTAGAAATCTGTTCCCATATGACAGGTAATTTTTGAAACCGAGAGGACTTTCAAAAATATGGTATGATATCTGGTATGGAATATGGTATTATATTTGTGTGTTATTTTTAGAAAGAAAGACATTAGAGATTCTCAAGTCTTGGACAAGTAATATCATTATTCTAGCTTTCCCAGCCTGTTGAAAATTGTTTATGGGTGCCATCGATGTGCAGTAAAAAGTGGAAATATGTTATTTTCAAGATTTATTAGTATATAAATGCAAGACATGCATTCATATTCATCATAATCTCTTTTGGAAGAAGAAATAATAATAATAATAATAATAATAATAATAATAATAATAATAATAATAATAATAATAATAGTAGTAGTAGTAAAGTTGGAAGGGACCTTGGAGGTCATCTAGTCCAACCCCCTGCTTGGGCAGGAAACCCTACACCATTTCGGACAAGTGGCTGTCCAGTCTCTTCTTAAAAACTTCCAGTGTTGGAGCATTTACTGCTTCTGGAGGCAAGCTGTTCCACTGATTAATTGTTCTAACTGTCAGGAAGTTTCTCCTTAGTTCTAGGTTGAAATGATATGCAAAGTGCAGAAAAAGAATAAGAAATAGTAAACCAAAGACATTAATGTATGAAATGAGACAAAGAAAAGGAAAGATATTCTATTTTTTAGATGCCTTAATTCATTCTTTCTCTTTTAAAGGATCTCATAAATTCCATCTAACCACATGTGTATGCTACATATACCTCATAGTAGATTGGTACCAGGGAAACCTAGTTCAAGCTGCTGTTATCAGTGGAAACTCGCTAGGTGACTAGACCACTTTTTCTCCTTCTCCCAGCCCAGCGTAACTTACCAAGTTGTTCTGGGGAAAAGTAGGAGGACAGAGTTCAATGTATGCCATCTTGAATTCTTGAAGGAAAGATGGGATAAAATCTAATAACTCAATGTTGTACTTTGAGATGTGGGTTGATCAAAAGATGGCAGAACACAATCTTAAAAAGAATAAAAGAGTCTCCATACAGTCACTTCACAATGTAACCACATCATTTTTAAATGAAAAATACACGATCTGTCCACTAATGATAGAAAATGGAAAACTGCTCCATTAATCCTTTCCACAGTTTAATGTTTGCAGATGTTCCAGATTAGCATAACTGAGGAGAAAATGTTAGATGCAATGAATCAGGGACTCAAATAATACATAAATTTTATGTACCACAGAGATTAAAGTTGTTATGAATTATGCCTTATATGAGAATCATCTGGATCCTAGTCAACAATAAACCTCAAACCAACACTGCATTTACTGGATTTTTTAAAAAGTTGTGATCAGTGAACTAATTCAGGAACTAGACTGAAGACAGCTTACAGCAAATCTTCCCCATGGTGATCTTGTTGGAAAGCAGAAGTTGGTTATGAAATAATAGTTGGTACAGAAATAGGAAGAGAATGGAGAAGTTGATTGTTGCATGGGTAGGACATGATCCTTGCTGAATATATGCTGCATGCCCAGGCCTTGACTTCTTACTTATCTACTTGCAATAAGAATCAGAGGAATTTGCAAGACTTAACTGATTGCGAAGAGGAACTGTTTAAAATAAAAATGCATGTAAGAGCCAGATTTCATAACCAATATTCATCTTTGTTTCTTGTTACCAGATGAAGGTAATTAAGCATTCTGAGGAGACATTGAAAACAGCTCTGATCTCCAAGGACAGACAACTTTTGAAGCTTTATGAGAAGTTTGATCCCAAGGAGAAGCATTTGCTGAATGAAGCATTTCAACCAGGCAGTGCTCTTTTTAAGCCTATAACTCTGCATTCTGAATCAGACTGGATCTCTTCACATCCAGAACCCACCCAGGATTTTTCACAGTTTTATCATGACCCCTGCAGAAATTTGCCAACCCCACAGAAGAGAAAGATTTACATCCAGCCCATTGGTAATATTAAAGAAGCAGTTATGAAAATGTTTATTGAACCATTACATAGCAATTAATTAAAAAGGCGTTTTCAAGCTTTCCACTTGCACAATTGTCATCCAAACCTGGATATTATCAGGCTGGTTTTTCAGGATAATTTTCTCTGAACTGATAGCTTGAGCTAAAGAATCCTACATACTCCTACAAATGCATCCTACATATTCTTACAAGGGCAACAAGTGATAGAGTTGGATGAGTTTCTACTTGAGAAGGTTGCTAAGGCAGTCCAACTCTTCCTAACACAATATGTAGGAGATCAGATTTATACTGTGTCTAATGGAAATTAAGAAAGCAAAGATAATAAAACATAAAGCCCAGTGCATGCTTAAATTCAAAAGAACCTATTTTTGAGTAATAAAATATATATCTAAGTGGGCATGTAGTTAAGGTCCTTCATTTCCATGGATCATGATAGCTGCTCTTTATATTGCAATGCTATTTTTGTTCACTAAATATTCTTTGGCTTTTTCTCTTCTCTTTTAAAATAAGCTAATTGTTTCTACTCTACAAAGGAAAGTTAACATTTTACTGTTGTATTTATATGACAAATTTGCCTATAAATAGTAGAAGGGAAAAAAAACTGCTGTAAACTGATGTTTTCTGAACCTAGGTTCTTTTGGAGATGCCAAAGTTAGCACAGATGTCTACTTGAAATGGCTGAGAGATTACTGTGAAGCATTTTACTACAACCTGACTGTAAGGATCCTAGACCCAATGCCTGTTTCACACACAGGTTGTGCTTTTCGAATCAATGAATACACACAAAATCTGCAAATTCATGCAGGTACAAAGAATAGACAAAACTGTGATAGACTAATTCATTCTTGCGATTTTGATCAATTTTTCTCAACTGGATTGTAAATTTCAGGTGTATTCAGGTGCTCAGAGTTGTCTTATTGGTGAGATGGGCAGCATATAAACTTAATAAATAAATACAAATAAATAATTTTGTAATATTTTCTTGGGCAAGTAAAAAGGCTGACATTTTAGATCTTGAGTAACTGATTGTAATCAAAAGTCAAAAAAGATGATGCTCAATGAAGGACTAACTTGACTGATCATAGGTTAGAGTTGCTATTAAAGCCTACCTTCTGTGTCAGTATTGTATCCTTATTTGCTTTGTATAGACATGCTGAGCTACACCCTATCCCAGGAGTAGGCAACCTCGGCTCTTTTATGACTCATGGACTTCAACTCCCAGAATTCCCAAGTCAGCCATGCTGACTTGGGAGTTCTGGGAGATGAAGTCCATGAGTCATAAAAGAGCCGAGATTGCCTACCCCTGCCCTATCTTATGATGAGATTTATTAAGCAGCCTAGAAGTCTGTGTATTTGAGCCGTGGTGGCACAGTGGTTAGAATGCAGTATTGCAGGCTAGTTCTGACTGCCAGCAGTTCAGCAGTTCAATCCTGATGGGGCTCAAGGTTGACTCAGCCTTCCATCCTTCCAAGGTTGGTGAAATGAGGACCCAGATTGTGGGAGACAATATGCTGACTCTGTAAACTGCTTAGAGAGGGCTGAAAAGCACTGTGAAGCGGTATATAAGTCTAAGTGCTATTGCTATTGCTATTTGTCTTCCTGTGAGTAGAGATATTTTTTCCTCCTGACCAGAAGCAGAGATCTTTCATTTCATCTCTTACCTAATTCTTTTAATTTAAAGATGCTGAGGATTGAAACCAAAATCTGATGAATATAAAATGTGTTGCTGTTGAAATGCTGTATGGTTCTTTTTTGCTGGTGCTTTTGTACATTCATGGTAAATATGGTAAATACCCCATCGTAAAACAAATGAAGCATGCTTAGATTTGTTGTTTAACTGCAAATTTCACATTCATTCTAAAGGAACTAAATTCAAAATGATTAGGTTTAAATTCATAGTCCTTATTTTCCTTGTGTTTCTGTGATATGTAACTTGGAGAGGTCATCTTAATATCTCTCTTATTTCAGGATTACTGTTATGGCTGCAGTTCTTGATTATGCAATTACTGCCTTCTGTGGAGAGACACTGATACCTGTTTTTCATATAGGGTATCTCTTGAATTACCTAAAGAAAAAAAAGCCAAAGGATGCTTTTTGCATTGTGGGAATAACCATGATAGATCTTTACCCGAAGGACTCTTGGAATTTTGTCTTTGGACAAGCCTCCTTAACAGAAGGTATCTGACTGGCTTCCTTTTAAGTTCTCAGGATGACTTATAATATGACCTTGGCCAATCATCTTTTCACTGTTCATATGAAATGGAATTACCTCTGAATATAAAGAGAAAATTACTTGAGAATTGTTGTGACCATACTGAAAGTGCAAATGAGTGGGGGGGGGGAAGGGCTTTGCACTGCAAGAAAACTGGATCTGCAAGTTTTCAGTAAAAGCCAACTCTGTTGCTTGAGGAATCACGGACTGATTCCCTTTAACTCAGGTGCACTTTAATGTGCCTTGAGTTAACATAACAATATTTTTGCATTCCTTGTTTATCAGTGTAGAAGAGGAATAGGTGGAAACAGGATCCTGCTTTTGTAACTTCAGGCTGCATCAGAGTGCAACGTAGTGCAAATGTTATATGTCCCTATGAAAAAGTAAAAGTAACATCTACAGTCAGTTTTATTTTCTGCTAGCTTCATGGAGGCATTCATGCAGTTTTCTTGATTGCACATTGGTATATCCATAGTTTCTCAGTTTTGCAAGAAATTAGGATAGAAAGAATTCTGAAAATGCAGGCATGGCACTTCATTCCTGTGTGATTGGCCTGATACCGGTGCTCAGCATCTTGGGAAGAGATCTTCCACGCAGAAATAAGTCTTTTACTGGCAAGCCCAAGGATCATGTAATTAATTGACCTTGACAAGGTTTGCACATTTATTAGCATGCTAAAGTACAAACAAGTAAATCACTTTAAATGTTAGTGTAATCTCAATCTCAGAATGCTGGAAGAGTGCATTGAGTTCTAATATAGCTCTGGTTATATGAATCATCTTCCACAATCTTTGCAATCTAGAAGGGTTTATTCACATATAAAAACTGACAGGTACTCTAATGAGCAGCGGCATTCTATCTTGAGGCTCAGGAATATTTAAGGATTGGGTTATGTTGTACTGCCATTGACCAGAAGAGGGCAATGGTCGTACTGTACATTTGAAGCCTTTTTATAATAAAGCCTAGGAGCCTTTACTTTGCCATCTTGGAGTAAAGCATTTGTATTGATAGCCATACATTGGTTATCTTGGTTTATGCAAACAAGGGAACATGAAACTATCGGGGAGGTGGTATACTTTCTCAAGCCTCATTTTCCTGACCAAAGACACCTTCTTCTCTGAAATGGTTACTTGCACAAAAAGAAGTTGTGATAGTAAAGGAGAATATTTGTAGCTCAGAGTTGAAACGAATGGGCCTTGGTGCTCTCTGAGTTTGGTTGTTTAACAGAATAACAGAGTTGGAAGGGACTTTGGAGATTTTCTAGTCCAACCCCCTGCTCATGCAGGAAAATCCTGTACCATTTCGGACAAATGGTTGTCCAATCTCTTCTTGGTGTGCACTGTGCAGTGATGACGTTAGTGGTTTGGGTAATGAAATGTCTGCAAGAAAACAACCAAGCTCAGACAGCACCAAGGACTTCTCATATTCCAGTATTTTTTTTCAATTAACTGAATATGTGAGATGTCATTAGGATCCTTTCAGTCTTTACTTGGGCTCCATTTCTCCTCTCCCATTTCTTCTGATCTGCCTTTCCAAAAGGGTGGTGCTAAGCTCCAGCGCAGAAGTGTTTTGGAGGACTTTGCTGCCCTTTCTAAACTCACTTGCTGAACAGACTGTTTTGCAGCTGAATTGATCCAGATGGGGTGAAAGAGAAAACACCTTTACTTCAAGGCACAAAGAGATTGTTGCTCTGAAACAGCAAGATTCCCCCCCCCCCCCCACACACACACACTTAGATATTTGATCTTTTTCCAAGCCAAGGATAATACTTAGCTTTGGCATCGTGCCAAGGGCTAGGCAGTAAAAAGTGGTTATGTCAAAGATTGAATTGAATTTAAATGTAATTAAAATAAATAGTCATGAATTAAATATGGAACCTGATTAGTCTATTATATTTAACAATTTCTTCCTCCTGTCATTTTAAAAGTTGCAGTTTTGTGACAACTCTTGGGGCTTAGAAGTGGGCTGCAAGGTTTCTATACTGGAAGTATTCTTTTGAATTCGTGTAGTATATATACCGTTTGTATGTATGGTTAATACAGCAGCCTCCTGTTGGTACAACTTTAATTTGAATTCCCTTTTGTTTTGATAAGGGGTGGGGATCTTCAGCTTTGCCAGATACGATAGTGACTTCTACAGTGCAAACTACCAGGGCAGATTGAAAACAACGAAAAAGCTTCCTGCAGCTGACTATTCTGTGTTTGATGGTTACTATACACCTGAGATCACTAGTAAACTGCTTCTGAGATCCTGCAAAGTAAGTGTTTTAAATTGCTAGAGTTATATTACATTGAGTTATATTATATTGATATTATATTGAAACCAAATTTCTTTTTTAATATCCTTGCTTAGTTTTAAAGCAGTGCCAGCTCCTTTTATTAATGGAACAGTAGCCTATTAAAATTTTTCAACATGTGGGTCGTGTGTTTATAGTAGTGTTTTCTGACCTCAGCAACTTGTAAGTTCTGGGACTTCCACTCCCAAAATTCCATAATCCGCTTGCTGGGAGTTGGAGTCCACAGATTTAGAAATTGCTCGGGTTGGGAAACACTTCGTTTAGAGCTTGGGAAGAAGCTTGACTGGATTGGAAGTGTAATAATCCTGCAGTTTATTTTTCTTAAGCTACATAGAAGTCTCTTGAGAAGATTTCCTCAGATTCACATTACAAGGAATCTGATTCCTTTATTCCTGCAATTTTATAGTTAATGTATGCCATATGACAAATAATCATAAACAGTTAATATAATTAAAATTAAGTTATTTTGTCATCGTTAAAAATGAAATGATTTGAAATGGATACTGGCTGTTCTCCCACTAGTGATTTATAAGATCTTCTAGGAGAGTGGTGGTGAACCTATGGCACGCGTGCCAGAGGCGGCACTCAGAGCCCTCTCTGTGGGCACACGCGCCATGCCCCGGAGATAGCAACCATCCCTCTTCAATCAGCTGCCCACTAACTCACCGAGGTCCCACATGGCCGGATGCATCCCAGCACAACTGGTTTCCTTCCCCCTATCCCATCCCTCCTGGCCTCGCATGCTCTCCTTTTCCTGGGCACGACCCACTGCATCGCCTCCTCAGCTGTCGGCCAGCCAGCTCAGAGGCAGCTTCTCTGAACTGCTGGGGCTGGCTGCGGAGCCCCAGAGTGTGTTGGTCGAGGGGCTGGCAGGCTGTGGCTGCTGACAGACACTGTCAGCCCCCCATGCGCTGGCTGGCCTCTGTGTGCGGGGGCCGATGGTGTCAGGCAGCAGTCACCCTGGCCCCTGCCTCGCCTTGCCCTGCGACAATGGCACCCCCGCCCTGCCTCGCCTTGCCTCGTCTCACCCCGCAGGACAAGCCTGCCCACCGCCCCACCTGCCAGAGACCCCCTGGATCTTCCCTAACCCTGCCCGGCTTCTACAGGCATCCTTCCCCACAAGCAACATCAAGGTGACCATGCCTACCTTGGCCACACCCAGCCAGTCTGCCATGACCACCACAGCCATGCCCACCCACTGGGCCACGCCCACCTGGCACTTGGCGATACATAAGTGGGTTTTGGGTTGCAGTTCAGGCACTCGGTCTCTAAAAGGTTTGCCACCACTGTTCTATGATCACTTATTCATCATCATTACAGCATTATAAATCCTATCTTTTTAATTACAATTTAGCAGAATGATTATTAGATGCCACTAGATGTTACAAGGACATAGTGAGGAAAGAGCAGCTGATTAGGTTGGCATCACAAACCTGGTCAACCACATTTTAACCTAGCTGATTGTGATAATTCAGCTTGTTTGTTTATGTGTTAATATGTCACACAAAACCAAAAGATCATTCCTACCATAGGATAAGCATGTGATATGAATACCATAACTCCATTCTTTCAAGAAATAAAATATTTCCTTCAATGATTATTTTATCAATATTAATCTAGACCAAAAATATTACTTTAATTCATGTGATCATTTGGATGTTAGATTGAAATCATGCAGAAGTGTGAGGACACTTTTTTGCACAAGAAGATCATTGGCTTGTGGTTTAGAGAAAACTTTTAGAAGTTAAAGCTTGAAATCTGTTTTGACTCACTATTTTTATTGTACTTTTCATATCTTTAATATTGTTCTGCTAAAAGATTAAAATGGATTGATTAATATTTATATTGAATGAAAAGTATAAAGGTAAATAAAAAAGGCTAAATACTTTTGATTTGTTTGTTAAATTTATCACTTGCCTTTTCTCTAGCTGTTCAGATAGCAAAGCTATGAGGTTGGGGTGAGAGTGCCTGACCCAAAGTCATCCAGCACATTTCTGTGGTTGAAATTGGCCTTGTGTCTGGCCATCTCCAATTGTAATCCAATACCAGTCTATTCCACTAGCCAGTTCTACCTTTTCTCACAAAATCTCTTGTGATTCAAACACCCACCCAGGATTGCAACTACAATTATTCAAGTCCATGATCAATAGACATATTATAAGTCAAACATAATGAGAAGGCTGGTTTAAGTAGAACTCTTCCATTCATATTCTGTGGCAGAGCAAGAATTCGCTCATCATTTTTCCCACTATAAAATGATTTTGCCATCTAAGGTATTCCAAATCCTGCAACCAAAGTGTACACTCTGATTTGAAAAATAGCTAGCAGTGCTATAGGGACTATCAAGCTCTTATTCAGCACAACTGCTGTGGGTTTTAAGCTGGCTGATGTGATTTGGCTATATCTGTGTTTCAGACTTTGACTCACGAGATTGGACACATCTTTGGGCTCCATCACTGCCAGTGGTTAGAGTGTGTTATGCAAGGATCTAATCATTTGGAGGAATCAGACAGACGTCCTTTAGATCTTTGTCCTATTTGCTTGCGCAAGCTGCAATCTGTACTTGGGTTCAGCATTCTGGAAAGATACAAGGTATGTCACTTCAGGATCCTTTAACAGTGTGAGAACTGCTTTAAATGCTGCTCTTTCCAGCTCTGGCAGAAATGAGAAATCCAGATTAAGCCGGACGGATTCATTACTTTGCTCCACTGCATGCCAGTTTCCATTCTGCGCTGTTGATGGTAATGATGAGGTCAAGGAAGAGTTAGGGGCTAAAGTCAAAAGCTCAGCTTGGCAGAATAAATAGAAAAATCTGCTGGGCAGTTGGACTTGTAAAAAAAAAAAGCAACTTCTGAAAAATTAATCCATTGATCTGTCACATCCAGCCACTTGTATGTATAGGATTGATTTAACACACATGAGAGAATTATGGCTTGTTTCATTGTTTTCTTTATGACATTAAGGAAATGAAATGCATCTCTGAAGAAAATTGATCTGTGTTACAGTCTGTGAAAAAGAAGTCATCAGTGTAGAAATTTGACTTGATACTAAATAGCTTGCTTATATGTTGTTACTGTGCATGGCCATTTTGAATAAAGTTTCTAATTCCTTTAGGCCCTGCAGAGATGGATAGAGGATAAAGCTAATGGAACGGAAGAAGGGCACAGCAGTGAAGCTAGAGGAGGATTGCCAAAGCCGGTGGAATCATTTACAGAAAGTTATGAGTTGCTTATGAAATGTTTAGACATCCTCCAGAAATAGGTTTGTTACGCAGGTTCAAAGGGAATGCTCTTATTCCAATGGTATAATCACTACTAAAGTGTGGCGATGAATTAAATATATTTTAAGTTGAAAGCTAAAAACCTTACAGTAAATATTTAAGCTGTTTGTTCTACCTGTTTTCTTTTGTCTCTGTTAAGTTACTCTTTTTTCTTGGAATGTCTAACACAGCCTAATAACACATTATTTATTTCTTATACTGAAGGAGTTAAGCTATGGTGCAGTCCATGGAACTGCTGTCAGGCATCTGAATCAGTTGTTTTGTCTACAATATTGATTGACAAATTGAGCCCTGTTTCTGTCTGTAAAATATCTGCTTACATGACTTTGGAACAAACATCAGCAACTTAAAGGAGCATTTTCTCTGCCTGTTCAGCAAACGGTCATGTCTGCATTTCATTATGAATCCTGTTTATTTGCAAGAAACAAGAAGTGGAATGGAAGCAAATGGATTTTTTTTGTTGTTGTTGTTTTATTAAAAGTTTTACAAATTACAATATAAACCCACCCCATCCCCTTCCCCCCACCCCCACTTCCCAGAGCTGATTACAGGGTAACAAATAAACAAACATAGTCTAGCTAACATAAACCAACTAAACTATCAATCAAAACCATAATACACTTTAACTCCTTCTCAAAACAAATATTAACAAATTAAGACAAAAATAATAATACCATTAATACTATTAATAATTATCTAAAATCTATTCAAAAGCAAGATAATACTTTTCAGTTTCATACTTCTGAATATAATCAATCCATCTTCTCCAAACCATAATATATCTTTCTTGTGAGTGATCCTTCAAATAGGTGGAGATTTTCGCCATTTCTGCTAAATTAGACACTTTAAGTATCCATTCTTCCAAAGTAGGCAATAAGTTTTTCTTCCAATATTGCCCCACCAATAATCTTGCAGCAATTATGAAGTTCAACATCAAATTAGTTTCTTTAACATCCAAATCTACAATAATACCCAACAAAAATAATTGCGGAGTAAACTTTATCTTTTTCTTAAAAATCTTTTGAATATTCCACCAAATCTTAATCCAAAAAGCTTTAATATCTTTACAAGTCCACCAAATATGAAAATAAGTTGCATCTAAATTTCCACATCTCCAACATTTGGGCTATAATTTCGGATACATGCGGGACAACTTTTGGGGATCCAAATGCCATCTATAAAACATTTTATAAAAATTTTCTCTTAAATTTTGTGCTTGAGTAAATTTTACATTTCTAACCCAAATTGTCTCCCATGTATCTAGTAAAATTGGCTCTTGGATATTTTGTGCCCATTTAATCATACAATCTTTAACTAACTCCGTTTCAGAGTCCAATTCTATTAAAGCACTATAAATTCTTTTTATATGAAATCGACTTTGATCTTTAATCTGTTTTACCAAATTCACATCCTCTAAAATAATACCAACCTTTTTATCTATATTCCACCTCAATAACAATTGATTATAATAAAACCAAGAATATACAATATTTTCTTGCTTCAACTCAGTTAAAGGCTTTAATTGCCAATGCTGCCCAACCAAACTAAGTAATTCCTTATAAGAAATCTTATCCAAATTTACTCCCCTAGATACTCCCTCTATCACGTGTCCTGGAACCCCCCAAATTGGAATTTTATAATTTAACCTATAGTAATACTTTTTCCAGACACGTAGCAAGGCACTTCTCAAAATATGGGTTTTAAAAACCTGATCCATTTTTTTATCATAAATTAAATATGCGTGCCATCCATATAATAAATCCCATCCCTCAAGAGATAGGATATTCTTATTTGTTAAGTTGAGCCAATCACTAATCAAGGTTAAAGCCACTGCATCATAATACAATTTTAAATTCGGTGCCTTTAATCCTCCTCTTTCCCGTGTATCCTGCATAATTTTAAATTTAACTCTCGGCTTTTTCCCTGCCCAAATAAATTTATTAATCCCCTTCTGCCATTCTTCCAAATTGGCATCTTTTTTCAAAATAGGTATCATCTGAAATAAAAAAAGAAACTTTGGAAGTATATTCATTTTAACTGCCGAAATTCTCCCCAACAAAGATAATTGTAATTTTTTCCAATCATTTAAATCCTTTTGCTCTTTTACCCATAATATCTCATAATTATTTTTATACAATTTAACATTAGAGGACGTTAAATAAATTCCTAAATATTTGACCTTTCTCACTATTTCAAAACCTGTTAATTTAACTATAATATCCTTTTCCTTCATAGACATATTTTTCGATAATATTTTAGTCTTATTATTATTTACCTTAAACCCAGAAACCTTCCCATACTGAAGTAAAATTTCAACCAAATCCCTAACTGAATCTGTCGGTTGAGATAATGTCACAACCAAGTCATCAGCAAAAGCTCTCAACCTATAATCATTCTTATTTATTTTTATTCCCTTTATTCTAGGTGACTCCCGAATTTTAATAAGTAAAATCTCCATGGTTAAAACAAATAACAATGGGGATAAAGGACATCCCTGTCTTGTACCCTTTTCAATTTTAAATGCTTCTGTTAAACCCCCATTAACTATAATTTGTGCAGATTGCTGTTGATATATTGCTTTAAGGGCAAATAAAAATTTATCCCCAAAATTCATTTCCTCTACTACTCTGAGTAAAAATTGCCAATTTAATTGATCAAAGGCTTTTTCAGCATCTAAAAAAATCAAAGCCGCAGGGATTTGATTGTTCTTGTCCAAATACTCAATTAGATTAAGAATTTGTCTAACATTATATTTCATATATCCTCCAGATATAAATCCAGATTGATCACTATGAAGCAAATGGGTTTTATATATCAATAAATCCTTCTTGCACATCAAAATTCAAAACTGATGCAGAGAAATTTGTGGGGCATGAAATTGACCAGAGCCTTCAGTACTTGTGCTTCTGAAGTCACTAATCTCAATATAGACCTTGTCCATTTTATCAGGGGTAACAGATCAAATTCATCAGGAGTAATGGGTCAAATTCAGCCCAGATATCCAGAGGAAACTATGTCGCAGTCATCCCCATAGGATCAGCAGAGTTGGAGTCTGACTACAAGCAGATCATAAATAAAATATTCACAGTACCTTTAAAATTACAATTAAAAACTCTTGACATTAAATAACAAGAAAATAAAGGTGGTGTACTGAAGTCCATAAATATCATCAGGATGCTCTCTGCAAAAGCTCAGTTTTTAATGTGTTCCTAATAGGTAATGAAGCTACATATTTTACAGTTCATAAATAAAAATGGTACTCTTTCATCAGAATTGTAAAAAGAAATTAATCTGATGGTCCTCTGGATGACATTGAGCAATGACTTGGGAAAGAACAAAGGGGAAAGACAAGAACTAAACAAACACAAGGGCATTTTTTGATGTTGGATGTTGATGATTAATTTGATTAAAGTGCATCCCTCTTCATAAGGTCTGAAACAGTTTTAATGAGAAAACTATTAAGATTTAGGAGGAAAAAATCTTTTAATTTCCTTTGTTTGGATTACTGTTATTCTGGCACAATCGTGCTTTCATCTTAAATCTAAATCCAGTTAGCATATTTCCTTGTCTAATTAATGCTTAAGCATATTTTTTCTCTTCTTCCTAGCTAGGTAGAATTGGATTTCCTACTGTGTACAATTTTCAAGGTTAATTTCAGTTGGACGGGCACTGACTTCTTCCAGGATGCTTTCTGATTTTCAGAAATTATATTTGACCAGAGAGCACCTTTAATTTTGAAAGCATACAGGAATAATTTCTTCCCATTTAATAATTTTTTGCAGGAATATTAACTTTTGCTGAGAATTCCATCTGACAGACATAAGGCATATTGATCATGTTACCCAGATTATAAATATTAACTAATATTTATTGAATATGTATATAGGAGAAAAAAAGATCAAATAAAAATCTTCCAATGTACTTGAGATTATCTGCCTTTTTTTGGTGACATTTTTGGTTAATATTAAGACACAAAACAGAATGGGAAACTTATGTCTTCCTTCTGTTTCATTTTAATTTGCTGCAATCACATTTGCATTGTCTTTTGCATTACATCTTATATGGTTCATTTGTTTTTCTGTTAATCTGAGGTGAATACAGCCACTGTGAGCTATTAAGGAAACAATACCTTTGCCTCAATCCTAGGTTAATTAGGGTGGTGGTTTGATATATTGCTACTTTACAAAGTCCAAGTATATTTTCTTAAGTGCAGTTGTATCTTATCAAGCATAGACATTCTTTCTCCCAGCCAAGAAAATCTGGATTTTTTAACATGAACAATTTAGACTAAGGCTTTGCTACTGTTCACCACCTCTACCTCTGCAGCTTTGTGGAGGGAGATGATTTGCTGTGAAATATGAAGATTTAATTCAATGGGATCAATGTCTCTTTCGCAGGTAAATTTCTCCAGCATTTAGGATGGCGAAACTCGAAATAAAATTGGAATAGAAAAGCCTACTCAATAGTTTTACCTATCTGGTGCAAGGATGCTTCTGTCTTTACAATAATCACTCAAGTGTGTCAGACTTTTCTTCTCCCGTCAAACTTAAGCTGCTTGATGAAGAAGGTACCAGGGGCACTTTGTTCTGCCATATACTGAGCCACGGCAGGCAACAGATTTGAGGGGAAGTGGAAATTAACCTGGTGTGGATTTAAGAATTGATGTATAATTACGGGCCGGCAGATGTTTCAAAGAACTCTTTAGTACTCGCAAAAAGCAGGAGGGAGAAACTATACCTTCCTGTGGGAACTCCTGTCACCAACTCGTCCTCTCCCTGAGAGTGGGGACCACTTAGCGATTGCCTCAAAAGGTATTTTGGGTTTTGTATGCGGACGGGATTCTGAAGTTCTACTCTTCGGCTCCTTCGGGCGGAATCGGCTCGGCGCCTCCTGATTGGTTCAGACCCAAGGAAAGGGGAGGCGCAAAACCTCGCTTAATATTTGCCGTGAATCTGGGAACCTGGTCGCCGGCGGTGGCGGGGTGCGTGAGCTGTGCGGACGTGTGAGTGCATAAACCACCTTTGCCATACAGTTGCCTGGTTTTTAACACGGGTGTGACTTAGGGCTTTGACTTAGCTGAGATGATTGGTTGGGGGGGGCATCAATTGAAAGGAGGGCGAGCAACCATGCCAAGCTGGGAGAAGCGAGTCTTCGGCCGCAGCAAGGGCCGGAGCCGCAGAAATCTTGCAACCCGCGTGCAGAACGGCCTCTAGTTTGGGGAGGGACAGTCGGCGAACTAGCTGTCTTCGGTACGCTTCCCCGGGCGACGAGGCTGCAGAAGCGGTTTCAGTTGTGGCTCCGGCGGATGCGGTGCAGTTGCATCGGCCCTGCTAGCTAAAGTTAGACGGTGTCTGGCGACACGCGCAGCCCGATGTCGGGCGGGTTTCCTCAGAAGGCAGCTATTTCTAGGCGGTGAATAGAAGGGAGTGCAGCCTTGCCCACGTTGGAGGCATTAGCTGGAGCTGGGAAACGGCGGAGGCCAGGCCCGATGTGGCGCTTCCGGCGAGGGACGGTGGAATTTTCCATGCTGCGCTCCCTGCGTAGGCTGGCAGAGAAGGAGCCCCCTGCCCCGCCCCGCTTGGCAACCTTGCCCCACGCCCAGCGCTGGGAGGGGGGCGTGGCGCGCGGCGGCTCGCCTCGGCCAGCTCTGCAGCCGCGGCTCTGCTCTGCCCCTTCCCGGACTAGGCGCTTTTAAAACGGGCCATCCGGCTTCAGATCTTTTAATTCTTACAACTTCACACGTTTTGCATCTAACCCGGGAGCACCCTGACCCTCGAGCTGAAGCAGAATTACTCCCGAAGCATCGGCTCCCGTCCCCGACTTAAACGAATTCAGAAGTGGGTTTAAAAACACGGTTTCTGACTTGTATGCTACGCGCAGCTCATAGCTATTCTCTCCCGGGCGACCTCTGAGGATTTTAACTTTTTCTTTCTTGTAGCGGCAAATTGAAATTTCCTACTTAAGGTTGCTGTAGTATGATTGCAATTTAGGGAGCTGCTCCGTCCCAAACTCTTGGAGAGAGGATTATACTGGCTTGCACAGCCAGCTTTGAAATCTCTGAAAATGGTTTAAGGTGATCTCCTATACTAGAGTCTCAATAGTCAATTCCCTTTTATTATTTTATCTTCCGAAGCTTTCTCAATAGTTATAGCATTTCCATCAAAAGGAATGTGGTTTTTGCATTGTAATTTTGTTTGATATGCATAAGAATTTCAAATTTTTTGACATACACTTCAACTTGGAAATGGAAATACTGTTTGGTCTTTGCCCAAGGCACCTGTTGAAGTTTAAAAAGCAACCTATGGATTTTCTGGAAGATGACTCATTTAAATGTTTCCCTTCCTGCTAAATGGGTTTCATAAAGTCCTTCCATGCCAGTCAAATGAAAACAGCATCCAAGTGAGAAGTTTTGTTCTTGAGGCAGGTCTCTAAATCATGGAACTATGCTTTTGGAAAAGGTCACAAAGGCCATCTAGTGCAACACTGCAGTGTGCAGGAAAACCAATTAAATCCTCCTTGAGAGATGGCTGTCCAGTTCTTCTTAAAAATCCTCCAACGTAGTCTCTATGGGATATTGCTTACTGTCTGGAAGCTTTTTGTTAAATAGTATAACTTTTAATACCATCTGGAATGCTTTGGAGTGAATTGAGAGTCAGTTCTGATGACTCCCCTGAGAACAAGGTGTTTAAGCATTAATTCTTAATGATCATGTATGTATGTGGCCTCTTTCTGAACAAGGAATGAATGTATAGCAGTCACAACTGATTGACTTAAAAATGAAAGTATTTTCTAGGTGTATTATACGAACAGGACTCCAGAGGGCGCTAGGTATCATTTTTTAAAGCAAACTTACCAGCTGTTTCTACCTGCTTTCCCTATCTCAAACCCTCCAGATAGGTCAGAGCAATTCCAATTGCCTTTCATTCAGTATATTATTATGAATATGAGCTGTAAACCTAATCATCTGGAGCATAGCAGATTGGAGAAAGTTGATGAGCATATTTTAGCTTAGCTTGTTGCATGAACCCAGCCACGTGTGGTTCAATTTATTGTGAGTACACACGCATTGGGTTAATTTGGTTAATTATGAGGAAAATATGATGCATACCTACTCTTTCTCCTTAATGGACATCCTTCATTCCATATGTATTTTGTAATGGAAATGGGGATGATGGTGAGTATATTTGTTCTTTGTAAAAGCTTGCAGAAACTGCTTTTGGTGTAGTAGACACAAAATACCTTTCTTGCCAGACGTATTCTTTTTAGAAAGAGTTGCACTGGGTGGAATGATTGTAGAGAAACGTCCAGGATCACCACATATATAATGATCCATTTTCATGAGGGGGGGGGAGGGGGGAGAGATGCCAGCAGAGTCTGATTAGTTATTTCCAGTTTTTTGGTATTTCCCTTCTGACATCATTCCAGCTGAAGCTTCAGATATATAAAACCTATTAAAGCTTTGCTCACCTTACCTTGGAGGGAAGTTAAAATAGAAGCCAAGTAGGAATTTATAGTGGAGACTGCAAATGTCATGCTGATAATAGGTTTTTTGCCAACTCAAAGAATGGGTGACAGCACTAACAAAAAGACCAGTTGTGAAGTTTGGAACAAAAGAAGGTTTAAACCAAAATTACTTTTTTCATTAAAAAAAAGTTTATTGCAAAACTCATTATTTGGTAGCACTTCCAGAATCCACTAATTTACAGTACAGAATAAATCAGCATCCTGCTTCAAACCATGCTTAATCCTGATTTTGAATATCTTGTTCACATGCATGCGTTCTGATCACACCAATATGTTATGTACATACATAGTAACTTTAGATGCTGACAGTTACATACATTGCATTATTTAGTATTGGAAATATTTGTAACAATATCACAGTAGAACTTCGTTAACTTGCAGAGACGACTAATTTTTTCAACTACATGTCAATATGCTTTTCCTCATATATATTGCCCTTGTTCAGTGATTGGAACTGATTCTGGTGAAATGATCACTAAGCAACAGTCACTAAGGGAAACAAGTGACTGAAAGAGGGAGAGAGAGAGACACAGTGGTGCCTTCTCATTCGAATCAAGTTCTTATACAAGGTCTGTACCTGATCTCTTTCCCCCCCACACACACACCCTTTTTGCATGACTGTGAGATTGCTTAAGCAAGTTACCACTTCCTAAACTGTTTTCTATGCCCTCTGACCTCCCATAAGTGTTAATTGCAAATTCACAAGCTCAGCTTTGTAGTCTTAATTATAACCCTCCTGGTACCTGTTGCCTGAAACTGATCAGGTTGTAATTGGTTTCACACTGAAGGTTTTTATTGTGGTAAATGCATTGGTTGGAATATGATTTTTTTATTATTACTGTTTATTTGCAAACAGTCACTGTTTGTTGCTAAAGAAGAACTACCTGTATTCTGGTACTTTTATATTAGAACTACAGTTTAGATAGATTAGGCCAGAAATAAGTATGAAATCAGCATTTGCCATGACTGTGGCCTTTTATTCCAAACATGGTTTTAAGATTTACATTGCTATACCTACCTTACATTTTCTGCTTTACTAGGAATGTAACAAGTATATGGTATGCTTGCTAAATAAATAACCAAGTTTATTAGCATATGCCTCATATTTTATTACTTTATTTGCTACCAAAAAAATCCAGAAAATCTAGTTATTCCCTCCTCCCAGTCTCTCTGCAGTTTATTGAGGCTCTACTGTATGTGATAAAGTGCTGAAAGTAAACAAACGATCCCATATTGCAACATATGTCTTCTTAATTTTCCAGCAGGGAGATAAGATGGATTGCTTAAGATACAGGGACACCATGTCCTGTTTCTAGGGCATCTTGATAAAAGTAAAGGATTTTATTAGAACAGAGTGCAAGTAAATAGCTCTTAAGATCAAGTTTTTGTTGTTTTATAAGAATATTTAAAATCAGGATGCTTTAAATCATTTCTCTGAAAAATTTCCCAGCATTCACATATTTATGTCCTACATTGCGATGGTATAAATTTTGAACTTTTTTTTTCTTTTTGGGTTGTGTTTGTTTTTTGGTAGGGGCTTCAGGAAAACCCTATCAGGAATCACAGTGATTTTAATTTGTATAGTCTTAGTAGAATAATTGACATACAGTGCCATTATGAATGGATTATCAAGAAACATTTTGAATCTGTACTATGTGTATTCAGAACAAAATCTTTTCATTTTCTCATTTTCCCCGAGTTGTCTAGTGAGAAAAAGACGTATAAAAGTGGGGTAAACAAGCTCGTATCACCTTTGATGATTATTTATTAAAACTCAGTGAACAATAAATAGTCAACATGTTGCTGCCACCTCTTAGAATTCCCTTTCTTTATACAAAACCTACTGAAAACAGGAGATACACAAATTGCATTCTAAAAAGACTAACTTTCTCTTTGTTGCATTTTTCTCTTTGCACTGATTGTTACATTGATTGTACTAAATAACTGCAATGAATGGAGCTTTAAAACCAGGGTTATCAGATACCGGTATACTATAAAAATCTGGATGACTACTAGATCAGAGGTCCCCAATCTTTTGGGCATCAGGGACCGGTTCCGTGGAGAAAGGTTTTGAGTGCGTGGTTGTGTGCTGTCTGCGTCCCATGGATGGGGCTTTGCTTGTTTGTACAGACCAGTTGCTGGCATGCCACGGCCCGGTACCAGTCCACAGAACTGGGGGGTGGGGACCTCTATACTAGATGACAGCCAATAGTTAGGTTTAAGTACCTGTCTGCTGCCCTCCTGTGGTCACCTGGATTTTAAAAACATAGATCAGATAACCCTCCTACTTCTCCAAGGCTTGGTTTATGCAGTTGGCTCCTTTAAGGTCCCAGGTATGGCTGTGTTGAGGCACATTGCCCAGTGGGAATTACTAGTAGTTGACTGCTTCATTAGATTATATAGTTTCACCTTTCACATGCACTCTACTGCAAAGACAACTGTGGTCATACAAATGGAATGACAAAATGTACAACCTTCATATGAAGGTACTGATGGAACAATCAGAGTTTCTATTTAACTCATAAAAAAAACCCTACACGTGAATGATGGTAGAAGTTAACAAAGGTAAGAACAAGTCCCAAATATACAGCATGCACCTTCTCAAACTTGTGCATAGAGGACTCCAAGCCTACAGACACAGACCTAACTGAAAGGTGATCCATAGTATAACCAAAGACAGTGGAATGTTTTCAGAATAAAAATGTTTTTCTCCCTATTAAGGAAATTAGTACAAGAAGTCCTCGACTTACAACAGTTCATTTAGTGACCATTCAGAGTTACAACACATCACTGAAAAAAGTGACTTATGACTTTTCCCACACTTATGACGTTTGCGGCAGCCCCATGGTCACCTGATCAAAATCCAGATGATTGGCAACTGACTCAGTGTCCCGGGGGTGTCATGTGATCACCTTTTGCAAACTTCTGACAAGCAAACTCAACAGGGAAGCCATATTCACTTAACAAATATGTTATTAACAACTGCAGCCATTCACTTAACAACTGCGGCAAGAAAGGTGATAAACTGGGGCAAAATGCACTTAACAAATGTCTCAACAACAGAAATGTTGGGCTCAGTTGCAGTTGTAAGTCGAGGACTATACTGAAACAATCTTAATACAATTCCATACATGCTTGAAATGTTTTACTGGATTTAAACCACAGCCTCCGTAACATCAGAGCAGACTCTCAAAGTCTTTATTAACTAAAGTCTTATTAACTAAGCCTATAGTCCTGTCGTTTCAATCTATGAACTCCAAAACAGCATGCAGTATCTGTGTTTCATTTCTTTAAAAGGCTTGCAAGACTTCTGTAACCATAAAAATAGGCGGGTGCACTATTATCTACTCCTCTAAAAAGCTGCATACTAGAAGTGCCTCAAGGAGACTTGGAAAGAGTTTGGGGCAAATGTTTGTTTTAAGTAACAGTTAATCACAAAATAAAAATAAATAACTTTTTTTAAAAATTAAAACTGCTAGAATCAGTGATTTGCCTGAATGTTAAAAGGCAAGTAAGTCTTTAAAAGTACAATCCTATTCCCGGACAATCGGAAATTCTGTGCTTGATATTGTGATTATACCTACGATACTCAAAAAGCAAGTCTCACCAAGGTTGCAAATTTATGCACATTCAGTAGTGAATTTTGAAAAAAAAACAGCACAATATATAAATAATCATACTTAAGATTAGGCAATAATTTTTATCTGCATTTTAAGGTAATACTGTTATGAAAGAGCTATACTAACTGGCCCTAAAATAGAACTGGTAACCTCCAAACTTTTGTGGAGTTTAACCAACTTTAAAAAAAAAAAAAGCACACAAAAGCTACTCGTTAATTCTCTAGTGAGTAAAAAAAGTTAACTCCTTCCCATGTGTTGCTGGATTCCAATTCAAGTCAGGCTGAACAGGACAAGAATTGGCTATCTGTTCCGAGTATAAATTTAACACCTCTTCTCCAAAATTAAAACACAGAGCAGTTATAGTTATTTGATGAAAAGAAACATCTCAAGACTGTTTCATCAAATTAGGGGTTTTTTTTGTGGCACTATTCCTGTGTTGTTAATTAAGAGAGGTACATTTCTGGTGTGAGATTCTCCCAGGCAATTAAAAAAAAACATGGCAAACTTTAGCTTTTAATCGGATAAGCCATAGCTGATTCTTCTTTAGCATAACATCTTGCTTCTTCACTATGATTTGGAATTGAAATATTATGCTTTGCCTGCTTCCCATTAATAAGAACATTTGGATCACAACTTCATGCTCGGTAGGAGTGCGGGCATGGCAAATCAATGGAACTTCACATGCCAGGTGTTTTCAAATAGTAGATAATATTAACCAGTCTTTATAAAAGGACCGCTAACATGTTCACCTTTATTGTGTTGCATTCCCTTTAATGTGTTAGTTTTTAAAAGGTGGACTTGAGCTGACTTATTTTTCCCCAATCTCTAAATAATATGTTTTAAAATTCAAGCTATGCTATCACAGCTCTTTACAGAACCTTCCGTTTTCCCAAAATCAATTTCTATAAAATCATCCGGTACGTGCTGCAGTGACTCTGAGACATTCTTTTGTATTGATCGTTTGTTTCTTTGACATGTTAAATTTTTGCAAGGCCTCACCAATGAAAGGAATACAGCAGCCAGCAGCATTCCAGCAGCACAGGAATAGAATGCAGATCTGTAATTTTTTGTGGTATCCACTAGTACACCTGTAAAGCAGGAAAAAAAAGAGCATGTCATGAAAAACTTCATACATATCAGTTTGTCACAATCTTTTGAAACATTTTCTTCAGATTTTTCTTTGCTGAGCATGATTATAGAACACCAAATCCGGCATATAAGATGACTCAGCGTATAAGACAACACCCCCCCCCCCACTTCGTAACCGATTTGCATGCTTAGAAAGTCATACGCCAGAAACTACCGTAATTTCCAGTGTATAAGACGACTCGGCTTCGAAGCCGATTTGCATGCTTTAGAAAGTCGACTTATACGCCGGAAAATATGGTACTTAAGCAGTTATTACATTATTTAAAAGGAAGGGAACAGACGTTTTACCAAACTGTGTTCCTGTGACACATGCTTTGGGGTTTGGGCCCATTCCAAATAGCTCAGAATTGTAAACAATCCTAGAAATAGTATTGAAGGCGCTCCTTGAACTGCAGCCATTCAGCTCATTACTACAATTATTTCCAAACAGTCTTGAAGATAAAATATGACGGTTATGACGGTTATGTCTTGGGCATAGAAGTCAAATGAGATCATTTGCTCTCTTGAAGTTTAATAATTTGTCTTTCACTCTGCTTCTGTCTCATTTAACTTCCACGTCCTTTAAGCCGTGGCTGGACAACTTGTGGTCTCCCAGATGTTTTGAACTGCACCTTTCACCATCCCTGTGATGGTTCCTGGGCTTAATAGTCCAATAACATCTAGAAGGCTATACAGGTCTCTTCTTCCTTTTTTACCTTCCATGTGTAAATTTTGTTCTGATTCCTTCTTTGCCTGCATATTACTAAACAGAATAAAAATCTACAAGGCTATAGTCAAGTAGAGATTTCTATGGCTTGTAAAGAGCTGGGTTCAAATATTAATCTAGCCCTGGGCAAACTCTCTGTCACTGTTGGCCATCTGTAAAATAGAAACACCTATCTGTTTCTTAGTGTTTGAGGCATAAAACAATATAGAAATCTTGAAATTAAATCTGTAAGTTAAGATTCCATTGGTAATAATGCGATTGGTAAAGATGCTACTGTTCAACTACTTCCCAAGCAGATGATAATGTCTGCAAGTGGAAGAAGTTCTTGCTGGGCAATGCTAAAATATTGGGTAGAGCGGGGGAAAGTAGCAAGATTGTTTACTAACACTTTGACTTACATACCGCTTCACAGTGCTTTACAGCCCTCTCTAAGCGGTTTAGAGTCAGCATACTATCCCAAAAAATCTGGCTCCTCATTTTACTGACCTTGGAAGGATGGAAGGCTGAGTCAACCTGGAGCAGGTCAGGATCAAACTCCTGCGCAATCAGCAGAATTAGCCTGCAATACTGCATTCCAACCACTGTGCCACTATGGCTCTTTACCCATTAAATTGATCTAATTTCATTGCAATTAAAGTGAATAAATTTCAGACTAGCTTCTTTAGGGAGGCTGGTGAAAATGCAATGCTTATAAAACTACATGAGCTGCTAATGTAAACTCTTGTCTTCTATTATTGACCTACAGTCCTTTTCATTAGGAGTACCGTATGTCAACTTCCTTCTGCTTTCCTATATATCCTGTATACGTTGAATGGAATGTTCCCTGCTCACACAAGAGCACTTTTTCCATTTTTTTTACTTGTTCCTCAACTGGGATTTATATTACCATCACAATAGAAAGCTGCCTAATGCAGAGTTATGTAATAGGTCCACATTCAGCAGAATCTTGTCAATGTTGGCTGGCAGCATTTCTTCACATTTTCAATAAGGGCTTTTTTCAGCCCTACCTGATAACGACACATTGAACCTTGGGAAACAGGTGCAATTGTTATGGAGCCCCAGCATGGGTAGTAAGTAGAGAGCATCTAAAAAGATCTCTGAACTGCTGCTTAGCGTTACCTGCAAGGGGTGGTCCAGCCAACCCTGATAAGCTTTGAATAAATACGTAGACCCCTGCAGCAGATGCTATCCTGTCAATGCCAACAACATCGTCTTCAGCCAGCATGGGAATGTGTGTGCCTGCTACCGTCCCGAGCATGAATCCAAAGAAAATGCTACACATCATTAGCCCCCAAAAATCGTAGGTGAAAGGGAAGGCAAAAAGGGCAACATCCAGCAGAATGACACAAATGAGTTCAATGTAAATTTTTCTGATGGGCTTTCTGTTGAGGACCCAGCCAGCGCCAATTCTACCAAAGACCTCAGCGATTGCCATCGCTGAGAGAATGTAAGCAGAGTGGTCCTTGCTGATGCCAAGGCTCATGCTGAGAGGAATTATGTATAGCGAGGGAGCAAAGAACCCCAAGGTAGCAAATAGACCAAAAAGTGCATAACATATAAAGCCGTAGTCTTTCAACACAGAGAAGTCTAGGAGTTTGGGTTTGGGTTCCTTGGTAGAAATGCTACTACTGGCTATGAACATCTCTGTGTTTTCCTTTGGTTCTTCACTTTTAAGTTCCAAGTTGGCATCTCTAGGTATGTTGTGAGGTGAGGTAGTTATTTCTACTCCCGAGTCAATGGAGTCTATTGAGGTGTGTGTCTGTTCATTTTCAAGCATGTACTTTGTCTCTCTTTGCTGTTCAACTGGTGATACTTTCACTACTTCTTGTGCTATGATTGTGATGGGTCGCAGCAGCAATCCACAGGCAACAATTCCAAGCTGCAGTAGACCAACAAACAAGAGGCTGGCTCGCCAACCAAAGTATTCCTTTGAAGCAGTGATAGCTGTAAACGTAGGAAAAAGTAAAATATATGAATGAACTTGGAAAATACACACGTTTATAACAGTAAGGTCAAATTTTTGCCATAGTTTGCACATCTGTAGTTTAGGGCAGGCATAGAATTCTTGGCTAATTCTTTTGGGATAGCTTAAGCATGAGAAACAGAAAGGGTTTAGGGTTAGGGTTAGATTATACCAAGTGTTTCTTTGCCCAGATGAGCTTTGGTGCTTCTGAACTTTAGCACATACTAGACAGAAGTATATATCCTTCTGTCAGCTTAGAAAAACATAATCAAATGCAGTTCTCTTACTTTTCTAAATCTATATATACTCTGTGAAACTAAAAACAGTGTCTTCCTCCACCATGATGGAATGAGTTACATGCAATAGATATGGAAGCTAGGACAGAAGCGGGAGACACTAAATATGGCCAAAATAAAGGTTCCAACATAGAGGAGGACTGAAAGCACATTTCATCTTAGCACGTCCAAGTAGGCCTGATGAATTCTAGTAGCCTACTAGAATTGCATCAAGCCATTTGGACATGCTAAGACCCCAGGATTTGAATTTCAGGTATGATGGGGGCCCCGTTCATCTTCCAGATAACCACATAGAGTTTCTGCTATTAATACCACAGTTGGAATTGCAACTCAAGCTTTATTTTTAGTTTGGGAATTTTTGCACAGGTTGTATGTCATTCTGCTTATTGGAAAAAATAGCAAGAATGAGAACATGCTCTGTAGTAGTCTAAGCTCATGTCTAGAATAACAAAGGAGTCAAATCATGCCCTCAATTACAAATGTAAGCACAAACCCCCTTTTACAGTGTCCTTCTTCCTTTATATTTCCAGTGTAAAGATCTGGATATCCTTTCTGCCATCCTGCCCTCTATTTTTCTAAATCTCCCTCCCCCACCTCTTACTTAGCAGGTGGTGTGATGTTTTTTTTCTTAAGACTGGAAAGAAGAAGTTCTGATTACTTGGGATATAATGAATGGATCGATCTCTGACTCTAATGAAAGCAGCATGCTTTCCAAGAACTTGCTATGCTTTTCTAGAAAATATATTTGAACTTGAGAATATGATTAAATGTACATCCTCTGCACTCTTCCCTCCCAATTCTCCCCACAGCAATCCTATGATATATGTTGGACTGAAAATAAAGGACTGGCCCCACCAAGTAGGCTTCTATGCTGACAATAGCCTAAATTTTGCATCTATAAGACTAATACTTGCACTAGTGCCTTCAAATCAGTCCTGATTGCTGTTGACTACATGGACAACTTCAAACAATTTTCTTGGCAACATTTTCAGAAGTGGTTTGCCAATGACTTCTTCCTAGGGCTGAGAGAAACTGACTAGCCCCACGTCATCCAGCTGGCTTCATGCCTAAGGCCCAACAAAAACTCATGGTTTCCTAGATTCTAGTCTAATGCTTTTACCACTAAAACAAAATAACCCTCAATTGTCTATTTACTATTTCAGGCAGAACTGTATGATCTTTAAGAACTTAGCTAGAAATGTTGCATTTGCAAAATGATTAAGATGGAAATCTTTTCTCTATCATTAATCCCTTTTTCTGCTATATTACAAAGTAACCCAAAGAGGAACATTAATATGGAGTTAAGGAGGGGTCCTCAACCACCAGGCTATGGACCGGTACCGGTCTGTTGGGAACCGGGCCATGAAAGCAGCAGGCAAACGGGTTAATTTGAGCATACACGGGATCCAGGTTGAACACACGAAACCATCCCTCACCCCCACCCCAGGTCTGTGGAAGACAAATTTTTCTTCCAAACCGGTCCCTGGAGCCAGAAAGTTTGGGGACCATTGCTCTACAATTAATATATTTATAAACTGAAAATAAAAGTTTACCATGTCCCCCTGTCCCCAAGGAAGTTAGGTTTGGCAGGATTATGTTTTGATATATTCATATCAAAAGGGTGAAGAAGCATACACTATTAAGATGCCCCTATGTCAGAAAAAGCAAAAAAACCATGTTTTTTACCTGGTGCAAAAGAAAAAACAGCAAAGCATTCTCCTGTAGAAGCCACGGCAGTGACCAATGAGCGCTTTTTGTCAAAGTACTGAGAGAGAATGGTAACAGTTGGAAGAAAGGCAAAACAGTATCCTAAACCTGTGAATAAATGCAAAATATGTAGTATAAAGCAGTAATTAATATGCTCCTGCAAGATCAGAAATATTTATTTTCCCCATGTTTTTTTTTTTTTAAATTATTCACTCAGGATATACTGTTTGCTACTGATCATTTCTCTTGAAATTCTGACGTGTTTTGCTCATTCTTGTTAACAGGTATAGTTTTTCAAATAATTAGAATGCGTCGTTGATACATTTGCCCTAATAAGCTCTCAAAATGTATCCTTGCTGTGTGAGTGGGTAAAGAGGTTGAAAATCTAGGTCTGCCTATGATGACATTAACAACCAGGGTCACTTAGCAGAACTCAGAACTATGCAGATTTTTCTATTTCTGAGATATCTTGGCCTCTTCATACAAGAGCTACTTCTACTCCTGAACGTAAACATTTCTTGCAGATAGTTCAAAATTCCTCTAAAAGAAACTCACCCGATACTATGCCAATTGAGATGTACATTTCAACCAGTGTATGTGCAAATGAAGCGGCAACCATTCCACTACAGACCAGTAGCCCTCCAATCATCACTACCAGACGATGACCAAAACGATTAGCTACAATTGTAGAAAGAGGAGCTGCAGAAAGAAGGAAGGTTTAATTGTTTATTTACATCTCTTTTCAGACCAGAACACTAGAACCCAGCCTAGGTGCTTTGGTTAGCAGGGTCCTCCGTATCTCTATTCCCCTTATAACACCTTGTATCCATCAGCTGGGAACGTGGCAACATACAAGTCACGGGTTCAGTGATTCAAATTTACCAGGCACCAGTGATTTACTTCTGATTATTTTAATTTTATTTTATTAGAGCAGTCCCAAGTGGTATGTCGTACATACACATGTTTACATAATGTATGAGAACCAGTCTGGTAGTAAGAATTACAGCACCAGGCTAGAAACTGGGAGATGGGAGTTTTAGTCCTGTCTTAGGCACAAAGCCAATTGGTAAACTTGGGCCAGTCACTTTCTCTCAGCCCTAGGAAAGACGCAGTGAGAAACCACTTTTGAAAAACCTTGCCAAGAAAAGTGCATGGACAAGTCCAGGCAGTTGCCGAGTCCAGGCAGTTGAGAAGACACCCAATATAAATCATCCCCCTCCCAATGTATATTTAATTAATATATTAATTCCATAATGGCAAATGGGCAAGTGTTCCAATAGAAATTCTATTTCTCAGATCCCATCAAGTGACATGGTTTGATTAGCAGGTAACCAAAATATGCCAACTCTGCAGGATCAAACAGGATGGACAGATACTATACAGGATGGTCCTTCAAATCTGTCTTGAATTAAGCCATCATCTAGAAGTTATTAAACATAATATGCATAAAAAGTAGACTTTCTCCAAGAGCCTGATTGTAAATCAGTGTATGCAGAATGCTATTCTTAATTGTTCTAATATTTCTTTCAGAATTATCTTCTTGAAAGACAAGAAGTTTGACTGAGTAATCCCACCTGGGATAAATATATGTAGTCCTTACTTGCTGACTGCAATTGGGACTGGCAGATCTGTTGTTAAGTGACAGGGTTGTTAAACGAAGCATCACAGCCACACCAGATTTACAGCCGTTCCACAGTAGTTAAGTACTGTACAGTAGTTCAGTAGTTACAGCCGTTCCACAGTAGTTAAGTACAACCCTATGGGTTGTTAAATGCAAACAACCTCTGACCACAACTTACTGCTGGCTTCCCCGTTGACTTTGCTTGGTGGAAGCCAGCCCTGAAGATTGCAAATAGTGATTACAGGATGTTCTGACCATTATAAATGCATGTTGGTTGCTATATGCCCAAATCGCAATCACTTTACTGTGGGGAACGCTGCAATGGCTGCAAATTCCAGGACTGATCGTAATTATCATTGTTCAGGGTTGTCCTAAGTTTGAATGGTTGATAAACAAATGGTCATTAAATGACCACCGATAATATAACCAAGCCTTATGCTGGTAGGGGTATAGCCCCTTTAAGCCCACTGAAACCACAGGTCTTAAATCATAGGTGTCTATGTATAAAACCAGGATTGTAAGACTTCATATAACAATTATCTAAGTATATGCTTACCTGTAAACGTAAGTACAAATACACATATTGAGATTATCCATGATATCCTGCTGTTGCTTTCATTAAAACATTCCACTAAGTCAGTAAAAAAGACTCCAAAGGACTTGATAATGCCATATGTCAAGGCCTCCACAAAGAAGAAAGCGAATGCCACAATCCATCCCCATCCTCCATCAGGCACTTTAGTATAAACATTTGGGGTAATGCATGACATTCTGGTTGCTTTGACAGTCATTTTGATCTGGAATAGAAAAGATTTAGTATGATTGGGGTATCTTCTAAAAACACAAGGCACATAAATTCAGTTCCTAAAACATGAATTAAGTGTGAAATAAATATTTAAAAATATAGTTTCCCCTAGACCCGTGGTGGCGAACCTATGGCACGCGTGGCACCCAGAACCCTCTCTGTGGGCATGTGCACCGTCACCCCAGTTCTAGGCCTTCAGCTGGGTTTTATAAAACTTTTTCGCTTTAGGCCTCCGCCATGTGCAAAAAAAAAAAAAACGGTTCAATCAATCAATCAATTTCAACTTCTTGTGGGGAAAAAAAGATCTCGCAAAGTTGAAATTGATTGATTGAACTTTTTAGTCCCACCCAGTCTGCCGTTACCACCGCAGTCACGCCCACCCAATTGGTCACGCCCACCCAGCACCTGACGATACATAAGTGGGTTTTGGGTTGCAGTTTGGGCACTCGGTCTCTAAAAGGTTCGCCATCACTGCCCTAGACCAGTGGTGGCGAACCTACGGCACGGATGCCAGAGGTGGCACTCGGAGCCCTCTCTGTGGGCACACGTGCTGTTGCCCCAGCCTTGCCTCCTCTCGTGACCCCCTCACCAGCAGCCCCCCAGAGAGTTGCCCCTGAGTGTGGCCCACGTGGAGCAGTGCAGCCAAGGACATGGCAGCCAGACAGCGTAGACAAGACTCTGCCCTCATAACCCATTGCGCACAGTTGATGCTGCGGGACGCGGGCAGAGGGCGCTGCTGGGTGATCTGCGGCAGGCCCTGGAGGTGGTGAATGGCCCTGCAGGCAGGCGAGGTGGGGGTGGAGCGGGGGAGGGTGAGGTTTTGGCCACTCGGTCTCTAAAAGGTTCGCCATCACTGCCCTAGACTATAAAGAGTTGAAGTAAATGTCTGTTAATTCTCCCATCTCATTATCACAAATTATACTATGACCTGCTAGTTGAATTTCTAAACCCAAAATATATTTAATCATAAAAACAAACCGATGCCATTCAGCAGAAAGCAATTAAGGAGCAGATGAAAATATAATAGAGGGCAGTTGGAGGGGCAGGGGAGATAGAGAGAACCCACAATGATCCCAAAACTAGTGAGAGTGGGGAGAATCCTGAATTTGCAATCTGCTCTCTAGGCTGGATTTTATTTAAGTCTAAGCCTATCTTGCTGTTAAGAGATGTTGTCTTCACAGTTGAAAATGCTGAACTATTCATGTTTTAAATGTTCCTGATTCTGCTTTTTCAAGTTAGTTTTGACTCTTGGTGATTGCCCGGACAAGTCCCTGCAGTTTTCTTGGCAAGGTTTCCAAAGTGGTTTGTCACTGCTTCTTCCTCAGACTGAGATACAGAGCAATTTGCCAAAGAAAACCCAACTGCTTTTGTGCTTAAGGCAGAACTAGAATTTTATGGTCTCCCCAATTTTTGGCCCGGTATTTTAACTGTTACAGCAAACTGGCCCTTTTTTTTAGCACTAGAACAGCCTATACAGGTAGTCTTTATGTTACAACAAAAATTTACCTTTTTTTATGTCAGTCATTAAACAAATGTAGCAGTCATTAAGCAAACCCACCCATTACTATGGGGTGGTTTTTGCTGGAAACTGGAAATAAACTTTTGTTTCTGGCAAAAATGACATAAATCAATCACGTGATTATGTACTCTGCAAACAGCCACAAATGTGAACTGGCTGCTGATGCTCAACATGCAGTCACATGGCCTGGGAGGGGCTGGAGATGGATGTTGGAACTGAATTCTAAGTAATTTGGGAGGGGGATGTCCATCAGAACTTTGATCATAAGTCAAGGTCTACCTGTACACAGTACAGATGACTGTTGGATGCTGTGTACAGGACTACCTATACACAGGCAGTGATTGCTGATGCTCAAGGTGCTTCATAACTCAATAAACGCTCCTTATCTAGTGCACTCTAAAACAAGAGTCAAGCATGCCTGAGTAAGTTCTTTATGCTGATAACTTTGTATAGTCCCAGGTTAATGGCACCTAACTTTTGAGTGGTTCTTAGAAATACGAGTATGTTCAGAGCATTTTCCACATGACTAATCTTTGGAAATAATACATAATACACTCAGTATTCTGAGCGTATTGAGGAGAATTATCTGTTTCGGCTTGGAGATGGCAATCCCCTTTTTCTGCTCCGCTGATGCCTCAATTATACCGCTACTAGGAGCCAAAGACAGTTCCCAGGTAGTAATAGGTATTTTAAACCCAAGAAAGTACAGGAATATATGGGAGTTCTAGTTTAGTTGGGCTGTACATCAGAACATTGGGGAAAGTGGTATTAGAAGGTCTTGGTGCTCTAAAATTAAGTATAACAGCAGTACTTTCTGAAACAACTGAATTGTTCTAATTCAGTATCTCAATATGATGAAATCAGAATTTGTATCAGTAAAGTATATTTTCTCAATGAAGTGCAGAGCAACTTTTCACGGGGAAAAACAAGATAGCAGAGCTTTGCTAAAGTTCATGACAAAAGTAATAAAGTCATTGCCTTAAAATTATTGAACCATCCATCTTCATTCCAGGATTCTTGCAGTGCAAAGATTTGCAAAAAAACTCTGGGCAAGTATCTTATCTGCTGCAATTGTCAATCATTCTTTAGCTGCCAGTTCTGTTGAGTCACTTGGAAACATTTATACATGCAAAGTTCCGCTTTAATCCGGGTTAAAACAGTTCCAGGTTTGACCAAACCTAAGTAAGCAATTCTGTATGCTTGATATTTATACACTATTGTACTACTGTATTCATAAGGAACAAATTCCCGGATGTTATAGCCAGCTTAATTATATGTAGTGAAATATATTTAAGTGCTTAAGTGTGCCAAATTGCATGTGAGATAAGGTTAAGAGAAAGTTAGCAAAATAGTTAGAAAAATTGATTTAAAGTATACAGTAAAGAGTTTTAAATGTTTGCAGGAAAACATTTGATAGTGATCAGTAACTTTATCAGGAGTTTTTATATCAATAAATGTTTTTTGAAATTAACTTATTTTGTCAAATGCCTGAAACATAGGATTCAGTGTTGTATAGTTTTAAAATTTGGTTTGCAACAGGCAAATTAAAAAAACTTTGTTTTTAAACATTCATCAAATCATTTATGCTTCAGTCCAAAGGCACTGCTATGCCATTTTAAACCAAATTAGTTATATGGGATTTTTAACATGTTAATTAAAATAGTAGGTAAAAAAATTATACGGAAAGCAGAAAGGGGAATCAATAATTATTTTTAGCCAGCCTGCAATGCGCATGTGCTTATGAAACCATGAGACTGGACAGTTTGTGCCTGTCCTGACAGATTTGGAGGAATAAGAACAAGAGGTTATCTAATATTTCAAGAATCTGTGTAAAATAAGAGCAAAGTAACTTTCGTTACTGTAGAACTTAATGCAGACCAGGTAGGACTATGGTATTAATAGTCCTACTTGGTTTGCATTGTTACATGTATGTCCTGATATGCTAAGGAGTGTAACAAATCCTAGAGTAAAATCAAATGTTAAAAAAATTGCAATTTTTCCAAATTTGGGACAGAAAAAGAGTTGAGGCTTTCTGTAACCTGAGTTACAGAATACAGTAATCCATACATAGCATTGCGGATACGAGATCTTGATCAAATCCTGTCTAAAGCCCAGCACAGGATGGGCTCCAATATTATAATTTCATTTAGCTATTGGAGAATATGCATCGTAGGTCGTGTCTATTCTATTTCTGCTTCAGCAAATTACTTCTTTTAAGCCTTCCCGGTCGTTGCTCAGAAAAGCGCAGCTTAAAAAAGATGAGGTATCCAAGGGCTTTGTTTAGTGGAAATGCGACCTCTACAGAATTCCATACATAGCACGGAACAGAATTTTTAGCGGCCACGTTGCGCCATGCAGTTATCTTCAATCCGGTTTAAAGCGCATCGATAGAATGCAAATCTGCTCTGTTCTATCGCCTTGTATAAATAACGCCATACAACACTTTTTTTTTCTTTTAAGACACGGGGAGAGAGAGAGAGAGCTATTTTATAAGCAACAAGTTTTTTCTTTTTTAAAAAATGTTTTCTTTCAAATGGAAGAATAACCCCCATCCGTTCCACGCTCCCAGTCTACATGATGTAGAGCGTGGGAAGCGAGCATTCACACGAAGGCCCAGGATTGTATCTTCAGCTCTTCAAGGCACAGTTCCACCACTTTTCTTCCAATCGGATCCTCTCCTCCCTTTCTTTCAGAGAGGCGGATGCCTTTATTTCGATTAAAATAATATTTTTTTTAAAAAAAAGCGACAGCAAGACACCCAAACTTGTGCCCAGAAGAAAAGTCACTTACCAGGTCAGTAGAAGATGTTGCTGCTGCAACTTGGGGAGAGAAAAGTGTGGAAGAAAAGGATCCCCCCAAGCTGCAGAGAAGAGCACCTTTGGCCTATGACCTGGTCAGCAACATTGCTGAGACGGCGGCTGGAACACCCGACCCTTCGCCCTCAGTAGCGCGAACCAAAGACCCGGCTCGAGAAGGCGCGGGAAGGGGGCTGCAGTCGCCTCAGACTTATACTCCTGACCCCCTTTGGAAAAGGTGGAGCCTGCCCTGCGCCTAAAATAGACCCGTTCGACAGAAAAGAGTAGCCAGGAGTCTCGCTCGTTATCCGACGCTAGGCTCTCGTTGCTGGTGCCAAGGCTGCTCCATGGCCAGCAGGCGCCTCCTTCGCTCCTTGAGTTTTTTCGGGCGATTTCTGCCCTCGGCCCTACTTAGCTATCTCTCTCGCCTTTCCACGCACACTCTCCCCGCTCCCCTTTTTGCAAATGCTGCCGTCTCTTCTGGTTCACCACAGTAGCTCTGCTTTTTTTATATACCGGCTCGAGCCGGTCTTTACCGGCGGATCTGGCGCGCGCTGTAACTCAGCAGCGCCATGTGCGCGCCGGAACCCGGTTTTGCAATTGCAATTACAGCAGCTAAAAAGCGGGCGGGTTTCCGCGCGCTCGAAAAGGAAGCGCGCGCCGGGCGGCCACAGGAGC